AGTTATGGAGTTTGGATGTTTCGTCCTGGACAGTGGCTCTCACACTCACTAGTCCTCAGCCTCCTTCTTTACGGCTTACGTACAGTCTCAGGGCGCTGGATTTGGGATGGAACCCGCCATGCATGGTAAGGAGCTTTCGAGTTTTAACATCCGTGGTCTGAATCTCTTCCTTTGGCCACCTGATTATTCCTGCAGGGTATCTGATCACTGGCAGGGCGTAGCTGTTAATTGCCCGGGCCTTGTTCTTGCCATTGAGCCGGCTTCTTAGGACCTGCCTTACTCGCCGGAGGTATTTGGCAGTTGCTGCTTTCCTCGTCACCTGTTCGAGGTTGCCATTTGCCTGTGGTATACCGAGATACTTGTAACTGACATTTGATGGTCACTTGTGCGAGCGGCTTGCCATTTGCCTCAAGGGTGGTCTTCCACATTCCCATCGAGTTTGCAACGAAGTCCCTTAGAGCCCTGTTGATATACAACTTCAAGCATTCCATGATCCATGTGTGTGGCATTGAGTCGTAGGCTTTCTGGTAATCAATCCAGGCTGTGCACAGGTTGGTGTGTCGTGACCGGCAGTCTTGGGCGACTGTTCTGTAAACCAGGAGCTGGTTGACAGAACCAGCTCCTGGATATATATGTCATACATATTAAATTTATATTTAATCAGTCCTGGATTTGAACCAGGTATCTTCCGCATGAGAGACAGTTATGAAATTAAGTCTTTCAACATATTTATGCAATAACATATATTATTATTACTCAAACGACATTTTTCAAACAATTTATGGCACTTCTGACATTCTTCATGAAGTGTTAGGCCCAAGGACCCAACATCAGTAAATGTCATTGGTAGTCACTGGGGATTTGAACTAGCAACCATCAGAACCGTAGACCTGTGCTTTTCCATCTGAGCCACTGGACCACTATCTCTAATACTGCTGCTTGTTGTCTTTTGTGGGACAATATTGTATGCAATGTAGCAGTCAAAAGCAGGCAGATATTCTATTAAATCCAATTAATCCGAATTGCGGCGCCCTCAGACCTCCGTACACAGGGGCAAATCCAAGCCGGGTCAGAGAGTTCAAGCCTGACACACGATGTCATTCAATCTCAACTCCAGAGTTTTATTCCCTTCGAGTGAACGAGCTGTGAGGTCTTTTATCAACTGTTCCACCAAAACCACTCTCCTTTGTCCAGACACGGCACTCTCAACCACGACTCGGCTAAGCTCCTTGTACATCCCATCAATTTTGTCGGCCAGCAGGTCGTGAATCTTGCAAACTGCCATGCCTCCGAATTTGCGATAGAAGAGAACCGCTCCAAACCCAAACAGGAGGATCCCCACCACCAAAATGCCAAAGATATATACGTCTTCCGAATCATCAATAGACAGGGTCGACAGACAGAGGGGCTGAAACTTGTTCCAGCTGTCAAGAGTATACCCCGCCGGTGAAGTCCCGTCCGGGCATACGGGCTCTCCAGACCCACGCTTACGTGGGTCTTACATGCCGCTTTACACGCCATTTATTCCCCACATGCCGTTTTAAACGCCACTTGTTGTCCACATGCCGTTTTAAACGCTATTTGTTGTGTACATGCCACTGATCAGCTGTGGCAGGTGCCGGTGCCACAAAAGGAGCCTGCCCTTACTGGATATCAGACCATTCTTTTGGATCAGTAGAAGTGAGTCCAGACTTAGCAGCAGATTTGATCATTTCGGCCTCTCGTCCATCAGGTCCAGCACTTGGACTCTGTTCTTATCATTTATGGCTTTATGTATTTCACTTCTTTTACATACAAAACAGAACAGAAGATGAAGTGTTCCATTGGCAGTGTTGTGCGTGAACGACTTCAAAAGAACGCCTTCATTGAACACGCTTATTTTTTAGTGAACGTTGAACTGAACGCAACACATTTTTTAATGAAGAACTTGAACGTGTGAATTAGTTCACATTATGTGTCATGAACGGCAGACATCACTGTAAATGAACGTGTGAATCAGTTCACATTATGTGTCATGAACGGCAGACATCACTGTAAATGAATGTGTGAATTAGTTCACATTATGTGTCATGAACAGCAGACATCACTGTAAATGAACGTGTGAATTAGTTCACATTACGTGTCATGAACGGCAGACATCACTGTAAATGAACGTGTGAATTAGTTCACATTATGTGTCATGAACGGCAGACATCACTGTAAATGAACGTGTGAATTATTTCACATTATGTGTCATGAACGGCAGACATCACTGTAAATGAACGTGTGAATTATTTCACATTATGTGTCATGAACAGCAGACATCACTGTAAATGAACGTGTGAATTATTTCACATTATATGTCATGAACAGCAGACATCACTGTAAATGAACGTGTGAATTAGTTCACATTATGTGTCATGAACAGCTGACATCACTGTAAATGAACGTGTGAATTAGTTCACATTATGTGTCATGAACAGCCGACATCACTGTAAATGAACGTGTGAATTAGTTTTCCATTGAAAACTGAGTGACATCTGTTTTCTCTTTTGAAACGAAACAAGAGAAAGTTCCTCCCTCCTGTGTTCTCTGCACTTTTTCTGCCGAAAACTAAAAATTCCCACGGTTTCCACCGTCTGTGAATGCACCCAACTCCGTGTTGCGGCGCTGTATGCTAGTGCTTTTCATAAGTTGTTGGACTCACATGTGCCCGAGTCGTTTGACATAAAGTACAAACACACGTACTGCAGCACATTACTGTCTGTAATATTTATGAGCAGAGATGGGACACCTCAGTTTGCTCCAATTGAAGACCATTTAAATCTGGTCTGTTTTGGAGTCAAAAGGATCTCATCCTGTGGGTGTACAGGATATATATACAGAGCCTTGCGAAAGTATTCGGCCCCCTTGAACCTTTCAACATTTCAGCACGTTTCAGGCTTCAAACATAAAGATATAAAAAAATTATTTTTTGTCATGAATCAACAACAAGTGGGACACAATCGTGAAGTGGAACGAAATTTATTGGATAATTTAAACTTTTTTAACAGATAAAAAACTGAAAAGTGGGGCGTGCAATATTATTTGGCCCCTTTACTTTCAGTGCAGCAAACTCAGTCCAGAAGTTCAGTGAGGATCTTTGAATGATCCAATGTTGTCCTAAATGACTGATGATGATAAATAGAATGTACCTGTGTGTAATCAAGTCTCCGTATAAATGCACCTGCTCTTTGATAGTCTCAGGGTTCTGTTTAAAGCGCAGAGAGAACCATGAAGACAAAGGAACACACCAGGCAGGTCCGAGATACTGTTGTGGAGAAGTTTAATGCCGGATTTGGATACAAAAAGATTTCCCAAACTTTAAACATCTCAAGGAGCACTGTGCAAGCAATTATATTGAAAGGGAAGGAGTATCAGACCACTGCAAATCTACCAAAACCCGGCCGTCCCTCCAAACTTTCATCTCAAACAAGGAGAAGACTGATCAGAGATGCAGCCAAGAGGCCCATGATCACTCTGGATGAACTGCAGATAACTACAGCTGTCAGGAAATGGCACCAGGCACTAAGCGTGGTGACTGACAGATCATAGACCCAAAAACCAAATAACCTAGAGGCCTGAAACTAATTCACCTTGCAAGGTTAACTCCTGTACCTACAATAACTCAGAGGACACTGTAGTTACAAGTATACGTGATCACGGGGGAAACGCATCAGCTATCAGACTGCTCAGGACACATCCGTGTACTAGCAGAGTGATCTCCCGATGTGCTCCTTTCCGGGCACAGCTTTTATTCAGTTTAGAAAAGCAGGTGTGGTTACATTTACACAATACCATATATAGTATGATAGCAAGGCAGTTGGTGCGCTTGGAGACGCCCCCAACTCAGCGTGCAAGCAATCTTCCATAACAGCTTGAAACTTTCCGTTGTTCTTAACTGTTGCTAAAGCGCGTCAACAACATCCTGTTCCCTTGCACACACTTTCACATCCTGTTCCCCTGCACACACACTTTCGTATGAACATTTGTTTAACTTATAATGGCAGTTCTGCTTTATTTATGCGCGTACAATAAAACAAAAATAAAACCTGAACATAAACCTTGGACATTCTTCCACATTTTCCCCCTGTTTAAACAATTTTCACAGAAAGTGTTCCGAGGCTAATCTTCCCGCTAGGGTTTGGATTAGCTCCTTCATGAATTTTGGAGAATTTGTACAACATGGGTCAACATAGTTTCTTTTGACTCAACGGGTGTGCCTCTGTCATCTATGATCACGATACATGTGAAATTCATGAAAGCCACTTTGGAATCAAACATGGGTGTCCCCGTGCTTGGGGGAATTGCTGGAAAAGCTTCAGCATATTTTTCAAGGTCAATAGCTAAAGCAGTCTGCGTCATTAGGCTGAGCACATCCACATTGTTGGGTAGTGGGGCGGGGACTACACGTACTGAGGGTCGTGGTCCCATGCACACTACACAATCCCTGGATCATCGCTTTGCCGCTTGTTCTGCTATTAAAAGCCAATTATTCTGATGGCCTGAAACGCCTGATGTGGTCCTGAACCATACATCAGTGTTTGTTTCAATAATCACCGCTCCCCCTTTAGCGTAGATCAAGGTGGGAGATGGTATCAGTATTTCTTTAGATCTGCGGACTAGGAAGCGATAACGCCCTTCGTCAGATTTGCGTATCAACATCCAGGATCTAAAAGGGCGGTCCCATGTCTTATCTAGGTTATCAGGGTCAACTTGCCGGTGTCCTGCAACAACGTCATAGTGCACCCACAACCCCCCTTCTACAGCGGTGTACGGTACAGATGTGGGAGTACCTGGTGGGAACAACCGGTGACCCTGCCATTTAGATTCTACAACCCACTGGTCATGTTGGGTACAACCTGTGGGACGTCTTCCCTGGGAATCGGACAGCACGCTACAGGGTATCTGTAGAGAAAAATTACCCTCAGGGGGTAAACAAAGCCCTGAGGGGGGTATTATTCTTCTAAACAGTTCAGTACATAGTTCTCCTGGGGTCTTCTGTGGCTGCTCTGGACCGTTGACGACGTTGTTGACTGGGGCTGTGAAGGTCAGCGTAGCCAGGCCTAGGACTAAGCCTATAAGAGCCTGGATCGATCTCATCGTAGCGGTTGTGTGTGTCACAGTACGGTTGTTGTCACAGCTTACCAACGACGTCCTGCGTCTCTCTAGGCGTTCGGGTCAAGTTGGTCTCGGAGCTTGCAATGGGAGAGGTGCACCCACGAGGTCCGTCCCTCAATCTTCACTGCCGTGGGAGTGGAGATGGTGACAACGTGTGGACCCTCCCACCGTGGGCTGTTCCAGGACTTCCTCTTTATCACTTTGATGAACACACAGTCCCCTGGTTTCACAGTCCTTTCCTGTTGAGAGAATGGTTCGGCAGGCAATTTATGCACATTTTGAATTTCCCTGCTCTCAAACAGTTGTCTCATATATGTCACCAGGTCTGGACTAGTGTCCGGTCTGTCCTTCTCGGTCAATTGTAAGTCTGGAATAGTAAATGGTCTTCCATACAGGATCTCAAATGGAGACAAAGAGTTCTGAGTGGGTAAAATATGTAGATTAGTTTTTACAAGATCCACACATTGCGGCCACGTTCTTCCTGTGTCCTTGGTAGCTTTGGAGAGTTTATTTTTGATTGTTCCGTTTACTCTCTCTACCAGTCCTGCTGATTGAGGATGGTAGGCACAATGATTTTTCAATGTTATTCCCAAGTGTTCACCTATACGATGGATTACTTCATTAACAAAATGAGCACCACAGTCTGATCGTATAATCTGAGGAATCCCGAAGGTCGGTATTATGGTCTTACAGATGGCCTTAACCACTGTGAGTGAGTCATTACTTGCAGTAGGAAACATTTCTACCCACTTGGAGAATGCATCAATGATTACTAAACAATACCGTAGTCCGTTAGCTTTGCCTAGTTCTATATAGTCCATGTGTATTGTATGAAACGGGTGTGGAGGCTCTGAGAACTTCCCTCTCTGTGGTCTCGCTGCTCCCTGGGAATTGTTTGGAATACATATCAAACATTGTTTACAAAAAATTTTCGAATATGTGTTGAATCCTATTGTTGTATAGTATTGATTTACTAATGCAGTCATTCCCCCTGTTGACACATGGCAAGGACCATGAGTCAATTTACTAGCCCAATTAAACAGAGATTTAGGTAACCATGGTTTTTTATCGTCACCAACGTAGAGTCCATTTTCTATCACACACCCTTTTGCTTTCCATGTAGCTTTTTCTGAGGCTGTCGCACTCTCCTGATACTGTTTCAGGATTTCATGTCTGTCACAATCATCTGGTTCCTCCTGGGGCTGTCTCTGCCGACCAATCAGAGGCTGCTGTCAAGTCTGACTCAAACAGGAAGTGACTCAGGGACCAATCAGGAGACAGTAAAGTACATCAAAGAGAAGCTGGATGAAAAGGATCGGTCTGCAGAGAGAAGCATGAACCTGCTGCACTGTCTGATGGAGCTGAACGACCTCAGTCTGGTGCAGCAGATACAGAAGACCATGAGAGAAGGAAGACTCTCCTGGTTAAGTTCTCCTGCTCAGTGGTCGACTCTGTCCTTCGTCTTACTGTCCTCAGACTCCGACCTGCAGGACTTTGACCTGAGGAAATACCGGGCCTCAGAGAGAGCTCTCCTGGGTCTGCTGCCGGTGGTCAGAGCCTCCACCAAAGCCCTGTGAGTCCAGACTGTGTTGAAGGTCTTCTGTGGAGGGTCTAGTCTCTAATGTGTCTCTGTCCTCAGGTTGAGGGAGTGTGGACTGTCCCCTCACAGCTGTGGTCCTCTGGCCTCAGTCCTCAGCTCCTCCAGTCTCACACACCTGGATCTGAGTAACAGACCTCCAGGACTCAGGAGTGGAGCTGCTGTGTTCTGGACTGAAGAGCGCCCCCTGTGGACTGCACACTCTCAGGTGAGACTCCCATGATGCATCTGTGTCCTCTGTGTCCACATGAGTGTAACGCTGTGTGTCTTTAGGCTGTCTGGATGTCTGATCTCAGAGAGGGGCGAGGCTGCTCTGGCCTCAGCTCTAAGCCCCGCCCCCTCCCATCTGAGAGAGTTGGACCTGAGCTACAACCATCCAGGAGGTTCATCAGAGCTGCTGAAGGCTCTACAGGACGACCCACACTGCCCCCTGCAGGAACTCAGGTCTGACCCTGCTCTGGACCTGGACCAGGTCTCTGATCCTGGTCCTGGTCTTTAGTCTTTAGTCCAGGTCCTGGTCCAGATCTTTGTCTTGGTCTTTTTCCTGGTCATTTCCAGGTCCATGTCTTGGTCCTGGTTCCTGTTCATGGAACCTGGTCCTCGGTCCCTGTCAAGGTCTAGACTCATTGCAGGTCTTCCTTCTTCCTGGTCCTTGATCTTTGTCCTGGTCCTGGTCCCTGGTCCCTGGTCCCTGCTCGCTGGTCTCTGGTCTCTGGTCTTGGTCTTGGTCCTGGTCTCTGGTCTCTGGTCCCTGGTCTCTGGTCTCTGGTCTTGGTCCTGGTCTCTGGTCCCTGGTCCCTGGTCCTGGTCCCTGGTCTCTGGTCTCTGGCTTTGGTCTCTGGTCTCTGGTCTTGGTCTTGGTCTTGGTCTCGGTTTCTGGCCCTGGTCTCTGGTCTTGGTCTCTGGTCTTGGTCTTGGTCTTGGTCCTGGTCCTGGTGTTGGTCCTGGTCTCTGGTCCCTGGTCCCTGGTCTCGGTCTTTGGTCTTGGCCTCTGGTCTCTGGTTTCTGGTCCTGGTCTCTGGTCTCTGGTCTTGGTCTCTGGTCTCTGGTCTTGGTCTTGGTCTTGGTCCTGGTCTTGGTCCTAGTCTCTGGTCTCTGGTCCCTGGTCTCTGGTCTCTGGTCTCTGGTCTCTGGTCCTGGTCCCTGGTCTCTGGTCTTGGTCTCTGGTCTCTGGTCTCTGGTCTTGGTCTTGGTCCTGGTGTTGGTCCCGGTCTCTGGTCCCTGGTCCCTGGTCTCTGGTCTTGGTCTCTGGTCTCTGGTCTCTGGTCTTGGTCTTGGTCCTGGTGTTGGTCCTGGTCTCTGGTCCCTGGTCCCTGGTCTCTGGTCTCTGGTCTCTGGTCCTGGTCCCTGGTCTCTGGTCTTGGTCTCTGGTCTCTGGTCTCTGGTCTTGGTCTCTGGTCTCTGGTCTCTGGTCTTGGTCTCTGGTCTCTGGTCTCTGGTCTCTGGTCCTGGTCCCTGGTCTCTGGTCTTGGTCTCTGGTCCCTGGTCCCTGGTCTCTGGTCTTGGTCTCTGGTCTCTGGTCTTGGTCTTGGTCTTGGTCCTGGTGTTGGTCCTGGTCTCTGGTCCCTGGTCCCTGGTCTCTGGTCTCTGGTCTCTGGTCCTGGTCCCTGGTCTCTGGTCTCTGGTCTTGGTCTCTGGTCTCTGGTCTTGGTCTTGGTCTCTGGTCCTGGTCTCTGGTCCTGGTCTCTGGTCTCTGGTCTTTGGTCTTGGTCTTGGTCTTGGTCCTGGTCTTGGTCTCTGGTCTCTGGTCCCTGGTCTTGGTCTTGGTCTCTGGTCTCTGGTCTCTGGTCCCTGGTCCCTGGTCTCTGGTCTTGGTCTCTGGTCTCTGGTCTCTGGTCTTGGTCTTGGTCTTGGTCCTGGTGTTGGTCCTGGTCTCTGATCCCTGGTCCCTGGTCTCTGGTCTCTGGTCCTGGTCCCTGGTTCCTGGTCTCTGGTCCTGGTCTCTGATGTTGGTCTTGGTCTTGGTCTTGGTCTTGGTCTCGGTCTCGGTCTCGGTCCTGGTGTTGGTCTTGGCCTCTGGTCTCGGTCTCGGTCTCGGTCTCTGGTCTTGGTCTCGGTCTCGGTCTCTGGTCTCTGGTCTCGGTCTCGGTCTCGGTCTCGGTCTCGGTCTCTGGTCTCTGGTCTCCTGGTCCTGGTCCTGGTCCTGGTCTTGGTCTTGGTCTTGGTCTTGGTCTTGGTCTCTGGTCTCTGGTCTCTGGTCTCTGGTCTCTGGTCTTGGTCTCTGGTCTTGGTCTTGGTCTTGGTCTTGGTCTCGGCCTCGGTCTCGGTCTTGGTCCTGGTGTTGGTCTTGGCCTCTGGTCTCGGTCTCTGGTCTCTGGTCTTTGGTCTCTGGTCTCTGGTCTTGGTCTCGGTCTCGGTCTCTGGTCTTGGTCTTGGTCTCGGTCTCGGTCTCTGGTCTCTGGTCTCCTGGTCCTGGTCCTGGTCTTGGTCTTGGTCTTGGTCTTGGTCTTTGTCTTGGTCTTGGTCCTGGTCTTGGTCTCTGGTCTCTGGTCTCTGGTCTCTGGTCTAGGTCTCTGGTCTTGGTCTTGGTCTTGGTCTTGGTCTCGGTCTCGGTCCTGGTGTTGGTCTTGGCCTCTGGTCTCGGTCTCGGCCTCGGTCTCTGGTCTTGGTCTTGGTCTTGGTCTCTGGTCTCTGGTCTCTGGTCTCTGGTCTTGGTCTTGGCCTCTGGTCTTGGTCTTGGTCTTGGTCTCGGTCTCGGTCTCGGTCTCGGTCTCTGGTCCCTGGTCCTGGTCCTGGTCCTGGTCTTGGTCTTGGTCTTGGTCTTGGTCTTGGTCTTGGTCTTGGTCTTGGTCCTGGTCTCTGGTCTCTGGTCCCTGGTCCCTGGTCTCTGGTCTCTGGTCTTGGTCTCTGGTCTCTGGTCTCTGGTCTTGGTCTTGGTCTTGGTCCTGGTGTTGGTCCTGGTCTCTGATCCCTGGTCTCTGGTCTCTGGTCTCTGGTCTCTGGTCTCTGGTCTTGGTCTCGGTCTCGGTCTCTGGTCTTGGTCTTGGTCTTGGTCTTGGTCTCTGGTCTCTGGTCTCTGGTCTCGGCCTCGGTCTTGGTCTCGGTCTCTGGTCTCCTGGTCTCCTGGTAATGGTCCTGGTCTTGGTCTTGGTCTTGGTCTTGGTCTCGGTCTCGGTCTTGGTCCTGGTGTTGGTCTTGGCCTCTGGTCTCGGTCTCGGTCTTGGTCTCTGGTCTTGGTCTTGGTCTTGGTCTTGGTCTCTGGTCTCTGGTCTCTGGTCTCTGGTCTCGGTCTCGGTCTCGGTCTCGGTCTCTGGTCTCTGGTCTCTGGTCCTGGTCCTGGTCTTGGTCTTGGTCTTGGTCTTGGTCTTGGTCTCTGGTCTCTGGTCTCTGGTCTCTGGTCTCGGTCTCTCGGTCTCTGGTCTCTGGTCCTGGTCTTGGTCTTGGT